AGAAAGTGCTAATAGTCCCGATGCTTGCACCAAGAGAACTGGGTAATAGTATTCAAGGTTCCCTCTTCCCACCTCACTAACAGACCATTTTAAACAAACATTTACCACCATATCTCTGCCTGCAACCCCCCCCATTGTCCAACTATAATTTTATGTAGTAATCCCATTTCTGTACTTTGATCTTTATACTTTTTTGTAACTTTCCATTCATTATATTTTATTTTTTTCAGAGATTCCTCATATTTTGGGGGGCACATCAATGTTATGGTTAGCAGTCTCCCACATGGTAAAGGATTTACACATTCACTTACTCTTACTACATTCTGTGATTTCTAGGAATTGGCTGCATATATTCAGACTGCTGTTTTATGAATCTGGGTTTCAAACCCAGGTCCTTGGTCAGGCTAGGTACACAGTCCACTACTAAGATGCATGCCTCTCTTAGAGTTCCATGTTAAAATCTACCTAAGTGTGAATATTACTCTTAACTCAATCGTCTGTTTGTTGGAAGACTTTTCTGAAACTAATACTTTGTTTATTTATTCTAATTATCTAAGTCCATAATATAAGCCATATATTCCAAAATGCATCAGTCTCTTGGGAACAAAGCTGTCCAGTGAGCACAGTCTTCATGTATAACACCACTGGAATGCCAAAAGAAACATCATTGTAATCTTTACTTGCTTTTCCTCCATTCTAACTAACCAACAATTTTTTTCCCGATTGATATTCACATTGTATTATATGTTCCTCTTTAGAACAACTCTCTGACTTTGAGTAGAGCTCAACATCTTTTTAAACAGAGATAACACTTGGGTCCACCTAGCAGATGCAGATTTCAAACTTTCAAACTCTCCAGATCTTTTAAAACTTCAGAAACAATGCCTTCAGTTGAAATGTTTAAATGTCATTGCAAGCAGATAAGCAAAGACAATAGTGGCCTACAAAATCTGGTGAGCCGAAAGCCTAGAGAAAAAAAGCCCTGCTTGCCATGGAGCTCAGTCCTAGAGACTGAAAAAGCACAGGCAACATTTAAATTTAGAATTTGCTGTTTTTTTTTTTTTCTGATGCTGAATTGCAACTATTACACTATACAAAAGATTGGGAGATGAATGAATGCCTCTTCTTTAAAAGGGGAACTCTTACCAGTGTACCATTAGAAAGATTTGCTTCAAAACACTTACACAAAGTCAAAATTCCTTTTGCAATGTTTCCAGACTTCGAGAACTATATAGTTGGGATCAAATAAGTATATTCTGGGATTTAAGGCATTTACAAATACATTCAACTTTACCAAGTGCATAAAAACTGGTCTCCTAGTTGGACATATTCTTGTCGATCACATAAAGCCTAAATTCTCTCTAGCTATAGACAAAAGTCATCTGAGGCTTGTGCCTTTGGGAACTTGCACTATGGCTACACTTAGCTGAGCTATGTGATCAAAGCAGAGCTCTGTGATGCCCACTGTGTGTGTTTTAATGCTCCTGTTGATGTTATAATACTAAAATTTTAGGTCTCAATATCTGTAGTCTTTATCAAAAAGTTTAAGCAGCTTTATTAGTACCATCTTTCCCTAGAAAAATGCAGGGATGAACATGAATGTTCTCAGTGTGTGAGGAAGAAAATGGCCCCTGCTTAGGTGATGATTCCATTGACAAATCATCACTCCTTTGGAGTTATTAAAATGACTGATGCCCTAAATTAGGGAAAGACCTCAGTACATTATTTTTATATGTCAACAAACTTCAAAATTTATTAGAATCTAATTTATACTCAGTCTAACGCACCTATTTTTAGTGTAAAGTTATACTCATTTTTACTTATTTGAAACTATTATAATTATCATTTCACTCAAGATAAAGAGCCTCACCCCAACACAGCATTTCCTACACAACTTTGCAGTCAGTGATACCCAAAGACCCTCTTAGGTAACTGATGACTTGGCTTCTGTCATTATGGATTAGTGGTTTATGGTCTAGACCTGGTCTATTTAAAGGAAATCACCTGGTGTGTGTGTGTGTGTGTGTGTGTGTGTGTGTGTGTGTGTGTAGTTACATCTGTCTTTCTCAGTGTGATTTTGAGATTCATCCATTGTGTCATATGAATGCGGTTGACTCTTCTGATTGTTCAACCTTGGTCTATTGTTTATATTTATTCACTTGCTGTCAGTGTTCATGTGGACTACTTCCAGTTTAAACTGTTGTGAATGAAAGTAACACATGCAGTATACATTTGTGTATACTTACACTAAGTGTATGTTAAATATATGTTCCACTTTACAGTAAAATAACAAATTTCCTTCCACAGTGCTTACTCAGTTACTCGATCCAGAGCTGATGAGGCTGAGCTTCAGTGGCTCACTGTCTCATCAGCACTTGACATTATCAGTCCATTTAATTTTGGTCTTTCTTTTTAAATATTTTATATGAATTAGAAAGATTATTTTACATGGCAATCCCAGTTCCCTCTCCTTCCCCTCCTCCCCTGCCACTGCAACTAACACCCTACCTATCCCGTACTCTTTCTGCATTCCAGGGAGGGTGAGGCCTTCCATAGGGGGTCTTTAGAGTCTGTCATATCCATTCGGATAGGGCCTAGGCACACCCCATTGTGTCTAGGCTCAGGGAGTATCCTTCCATGTGGGATGGGCTCCCACATTCCTATGCTAGGGATAAGTACTGATCCACTACAAGGGGCCCCATAGATTTCCTAGGTCTCCTCACTGAAACCCATGTTCCTGAGGTCTTAATCAGTCCCATGCTGGTTTCCCAGCTATCAGTCTGGGGATCAAGAGCTCTCCCTTGTTCAGGTCAACTGTTTCTGTGCGTTTCACCAGCCTGGTCTGGACCCCTTTGCTCATTAGTCCTCCTTCTCTCCAACTGGATTCCAGTTCAGTTTGAAGGGACCGGCTCCCCATTTAGGCAGCCATAACAGCCAAACAGTGCTTGTCTGACCTAGTCTTAGTCACTAGGAGGTCAGATGCCTGCCTCGTGGGAAGGAACTAATCAGAAGTTAGCTGGTGGTGCTATGCTTTATGGCTCTGAGTGTGCTTTACGGACAAGTGCACAGCAATGACTCACAGAGCATAGCAACCACCCTTCAAGGGCCTATGGGTCATAACAACCAGTTGACCAATCAACACAGGGCAAACCCTCCAATCCTGGAGGCACACCAACCCTGAGCCTGTGCGGACCCCTAGACACTCCCCTTACGCTGCCCTATAAGATCTCTATGCAGACGCTTCGAGCTGTCTTTCCTTGCCATCCGTCATGGTGGATGGATAGAAGACCCGAGCTAACATGGGGTTAGCTCCTTAAACAACTAAAATAAAGCTGTTTGCATCAAGCTTTCGACTCCTCCTCCTGATTGGGGTGACTGTGGTCCTGGGCTGAGATCCTGAAGGCCTGAGCTTCCCGGGGTCTTACAAGTTCAAGGTTTAGCTGTGGGTGTCTGCTTCTACTCCCACCAGCTTAATTTTGGTCTTTCTAGTGGTTCTATCCATAGTGGTATCTCACTGTGGTTCAGTTGTCATTTCTGTGATAATGATGTTGAGAATATGTTCATGTTCTTTTCCTGCTTTGATACTCCTATTTTGATCATTTTTAGGTGGGCTGTTAGGGTTGTATGCTATAAATTCTCATATATAGTTGATAACATTATTGTCAGAAGTAAGTTTTTTTAGAGAGTTGACTTTTCATTGATTTCTAATGATGTTTTAATGGAAATGGAGTCTTTTATACAGGCAATCAAGTAACAAATAAACAAACAAGAAGAGATAATTACTATGATCCCTATAGGATGTGGTGTACTTCGTTTAGAAATGGGAAGTTTGCACTCACTCATAAGGAGTATGCTACTAGGGATAAAGGCAGAAATCAGAGTGACACATTTACAAAACAAGACATCCTGAGACTGATAGAAAACCACCAGAAGCTAGAAAAAAAGGAGGAGGAAATAAACCAAGGAAGGGTATCAGCCTGGACACACCTTGACCTTTGACACACAGCCTCCAACAGTGTGAAGAAATACATTTCCATTTAATTTATGAAGTTTTTCACACTTGGCAAAGACAGCTCTGGGAAACTCAAGTAAGTCTTTCATTTTTCTTTTCTTTTCAGAGAAGGCTTTTTGTGTTCTCGGCATCTCTGCCTTTCTCAAGGTTATGAAGATTTACTTCTCTGCTTTCTTTTAAATGTACATTATTTTTACATTGCATGCAGGCATATGTGTATTTTCCTATTCACTGGTTTCACATTTGGGTTTTCCAATGCCTGAGGGAGCACTTTATTCTTGTATATTCTCTAGAATCAAATCACAGTTTCTGGCAATAGTGTAATATATGAGGTGGCTATGTGCCCATTCTTGAAAGTTCAAGTTGGAGCAAGTTTTATTTCTAAGGGGAGAAGGACCCATGTCCTTTTTATTTCCTTCCTACTAAGTTAGAGATGATGGCAACTGATGTGATGTCTTAATACCAATTGCTGACTACCCAGCTTGGTCATGCCTACTGTAATCCCCTACTCATACTTTCATTCTTCCTTTCAGGGAAGATCTGTGTGTTCAGATCCAATGGGTATGGTTCTGCCTAACTGTCCTGGAAGTATTGAAGCAGGAGTCTTTTATACTTCATGTGCAGCAATGCCAAAGTTCCCAAGGGCATGATATCTACTTCACCTTCCACTACAAGAAATGACACACCCATCTCCACATAAGTCACTATCATTGACAAAAGCTATACACCCACTCTTCCTTTCAGTTTGGAGTCAAAGGCTTTCTAAGTCATGGAAAGAACTGAGAAAATAGTTTCAGTAAATTTCTTCTACAAATTCTTTTCCTGGAATATGGTGCTCAGCAGCAGACACATAGAATGGATTGCTTTTGAGATGCTGCCTTATTGCATTCACATATAGGATTATTTTCTGGCTGCCAATGCTCCTTTTGAATGAGAACTAACCTTTCTTAATACACACTCTCAAAACTCAGCATGGTAAACATCTTACCCTTGACTGACAGGTGTCTCCATGTTACCGTTGGTTCTGGTCTGCCAATTGCAAGGCATAACAGAGTCACACTGCTTCCTTCATTCACAGTAATGTCTGAAGAGATGTTCATTATCTGTGGAGGAACTATAAAGAAATACAAGAGATTAGAAAAAGCTGAGAAAGATTCCTTGCACTTAAAAAGAGCTGTCAGCCTATAAATATGCACATATCATATTATATATTTGTACATGAATATCATTTTAATGCCACTTTGCTCATCTTGGCAAAGATCTGGCCAATGACACCATTTACAGAATGAGTCTAATAGAAAAACTCATTGTTGTGCCCTGTTGGGATAGCTGGTAGATATAGGTATGATGGTGGCATTGGCAGAAGAGCCGAAGACAAGGGTATAACTATATATTCAATTAGAGGCAAAGTCAAAGATAAAACATGAGGAGTCCTCTATGCAGAGGATCCTTTCTTGTTTTCACCAGTGATAGGATGTTCCCTGTCACAGATTATACCCAATACCTTACTCCAAAAGTCAAACACATTGGCTAATTACCATGTCCCAAGCATTCAGACTCTCTTTAAAAAACTTTGAAGTTGAACACAGTATATCTTGCCAGAATTCTTTTCCAATTTTTTAACATTTTAATTAAATTATTGTTGCTTTGTTGCTGTTTATTTTAAGTTTACATACTTCCAACTCCACAAATCCACAGAACTTTAGTAAATACACTAAAAGTAGTACAGGACACTAAGAATAAAAATGGGTAATTGAGCATGCAATTCATACAAACAAAAAATATTCACAAAAAATTGGTAACCGCTAAAACCAGAAAGTTTCCATTGATCAATACAACCTTCAAAACCCATTCAAATTTTGCTAATTGTTTTTCTTTTAATTTAATTATTTTTGGTTTGAGAACATACACAGATTTAATGTGTTTTGATGAAACATAATCCCCACTCAATCTTCTCTAATTTTTCCCCTACTTCCCCACAACTTCCCCTTGTAACTTCATGTACTATTTCCATATTTTTAAAACCTACCAACTCTGTTTAATACTGTCCATAGATGAATATAGGATCATCTACTGGAACATGGAGAGAAATTTAGGGACTACATCCTTGAAGCAATCATATTTTCCCTCCCTTAGCAGCTATCAATTGCCAATATCTTCTGAACCAGTGATAGGACTTCAGCGGCTTTCAGTTCAGATGTACAAGTGTCCTGTTGTGTATGGAAAACTGTTTGCCTACAGTCATTCACCACCTTTGCCTCTTACAGTATATTCATCCCCCTTTTTATGATGGTGCTGTCGCCTTGGAAGACAGGTTATGACATAAATATCTCACTTAGAGTTGAGTACTCCAGAGACTTGTATTCTCTGCATATTCATCAGTTGTGGATCTCTATGTTTATTATACTGTGTTAATTATCTACTGCTCAAAGAAGATCCTCTAATGAGTGTTGAGAGATCCACTAATCTATGGATAAGAACTTAGGGACCAGTTTAACACTATGTCCATTTAGTAGAATAATAGTATTAGGGTCTTCTCTGCTGCCTATGACTTAGTCTACCACAAATTTTTAAATCTCCAAGTAACAAACAGTGCCAGGCTTCAGGAATTATGAACCAAACATGAATTCTGTCTTGTGATCAGGCTTCAAATACAATCACAAAGTCATTGATTATTCCCCAAACTTTTGTTCAACTATTGCCCCAGTGGGCATGTCTTTCTAGGTCAGGTACTGTAGCTCACAGGGTTCTTGGCCTGTAGCTCACAGTGTTCTCAACAGGATAAGAGTATTGAATACTTTTTTTTTTTTACCTAGGTATTGAAAATAGAGCCTTCTAGCACCATGAAAGTTAGCCAATAAGGATAAAACTTCCAGGCAAGTATTAGCTTGATTTTTCTATGGTCTGTGACCCAGACATGTGTTATCTTCAGCACCAGGGTCATACAATGCAGTACTAGAGGATAACCAAGAACACCAGCAATAGTCTGTAGAGTTTTTTTTTTTTGGAGGGTGGGGGTCTGTGACACCAGTGATCAACAACTCCAAAAGAGGTAACCTGTACATGGTACTTGATTTTTTATTTAGCAGCCTATGGTGTTTGAGAGACTCGTTGTTCTGCCATTAAACTCCCTTTCTATATTTACATGTATATATTTTGGAAAACTTCTACAGTAGTAGCGTTCTATATGGCATTTCCAAAGGTCTTAAGTGTTAATCATCTATTGCCATACCCCCCACTTCTACTCTTTCTTCTTTCTTTCATTCTATTTAACCTGTTTGTTTCATTATTACCACTCCATCTTCATTCTCTTCTCATTTCTTAATCTCTGAATTCTTACCAATCCTTTAAAACTCTGAAACTTTCTCTTGATTTCTTGGTTGCTGTTAATGTATTCTCATTGGGACCAACAAAAGCAAGTATTAAATTCTCAGTTAGTTATTATTGTCAGCTTTCAGTGTATGAATGTTCCTTGGTTTGTTTTGGGATTATGACCAATAAACATATTCAAAGTTGAAAGTATCATTAAGTTCAAAATGCATTAAATGTACAAAACCTACTAAGCATCATAGCTCAGCAACCTCACACATCATGGAGGATTGGTAGTTTTTTTTTTCTTTATTGACTGTGTCATTAAAATGGAGCTATGGTTCATGGCCACTGCCCAGCATAGTCAAGGAGTTGCATCTCACATAAGACCAGCCTTGGAAAGACCTCAAATCAAAATTTAGATCAAGACTACTACAGTATGAGAAATGCTTTTGTACTGTTTTGAAAACTGTAAAATTTTAAGAACCACAGTAAGCCAGGACATATCTGTACTATGAAGTGAATTCTTTTTAGTGCTGTTGTATTCCTTCAGTTAGAGGCAGGGCTCTGAAGTGCAATTTCTCACCTACTGTGTGATCTTAATTAATAATTTGTGCTCTACTGTTTGAACTTTGGTGCCTCACCTGTGAACTGGGAGGCACTAACCTCTTTGCTGTATGATTTTAAGTGCTATCTTATCAGAGGGTTTGATGTAAAATAAGCACCCAATACGTATTGGTTGCTATGGCAGCCACAATGCTGCTGCTGATTACAAGAAAAGTGACAATAACATTGCACAATTGTTTTCTGCTCTAGTACTGAGACAATGTCCATGGACCTTAGGCACTTCAAACATACTGTGATTTCTCATTTTACCTTGGTCAAATTTCTGGCCTTAATTATCAAGTTCACTAAAATGACAATTAAAAAAATACCTAGATTCCATCTCAATTCTTCTCATCAGAGTTTCTGCTTGGATTTCTCATTCATTCTCAATTGACAACTACAATAGACTCTCACCTGGAATTTTGTAATTGGTTCCTTGGTATCTTTGAGTCCATCTAATCTATCCTTTCTATGTAGACAGCATGACCCTTTGAAGCAATAAGGTAATCAGTCCTCTCCTTTCTGATTCTTGCAGCTCTCCATGATGCCTTAGGTGTAACTCACAAGTTTCCCTGTTTAAAAGGGACCTCTAAAGATTTTATACAGCCCCTTATCAATAGACAGCTACCACTCACAGAGCACACTGCAGACCCCATGCCCTTGGACCATCTCAGAAGACTTTGCTGTTCCTTTCCCTTCTCCAACCTTTTCCTATAAAGACTTGGCTCATCTTTAGAGAACCACTCAAATGCCACCTTCCTTCTACAGTTCCCCCTTTCCATGTCCTAAACACTAAAGCTATCTTTCCAGTGTCATCTCATCCAAGCCTGCCTCGGGAAGATGACAAACCATGCTTCATTGCAGCTAAGGCAGCACCCTGTTTCTTTCCCTAGTGACCAAGTACTTGAGGAAAGATAAGACTCCTGTATCTTGGACTAGAAGGCTATCAAGGGCATGGGCTGAATTCCTGTCTGAGAGGAGGATTTGGATAACAGCCCGAACAGAATTCCAATGCTAAGGGAGGCAAAGCTTGGAATGAAAGTTTTCGGCTTCCTTCCCATTTTTTCCCTCAGATCATCAGCATCAAAAGAAAGATTATAGAGAGAAGAGGCGCCAAGCCTACAGTCATGTTGATTTATTTGTATTGCCACTTTAATTATGAATTATTAATTATCAAACAAACAGCTGAAGTGCTGGTAGATTCCAAACCACCCAAGTCATTGGCAGGAGAGAATTACAGCTACTGTTCAGTTCTGACAACTCTGCAGCCTGCAGTTTCACACTGCTGAGACCTCACAGGGAAGACTTTTCAAGGAGAAGCCATAAGTAACCAGCAGAACATTTGAGCTCTTGAGGGAATCCACATTAGCAAATAAATAAAAATTGCTTAGCTTATAAATCTGCCATATTGGGGGTTATTTCTGCATTAGGAATTGCCCTGAAATTTCAGTGCACATATTTTACCAAAATACACATAGAAAAAAAAAACACAGTGCACTTTCCAACTGTACTGTATACTCTGGAGAAAATGGTTCTACCTGTTTTTCAGTATTTTCTAGCTTGTTAAAAAAATAGGTCTGGGCATAGAAATGTCAATACGTGTTTTCTCATTCCTATAAAGTAACACCTTCTGTGCAGCTTCCAAATATTCTCAAAATATTATCTGCTTTAGCCAGAAGTGCTAGGCCATCTTAAGGCCTCTTTATGAAGACCCCAGAGTCTCTCTGGAAGGAATACAAAGACAGCCTGGGCAAGCACAGTTGTATTTGTGTGTAGTGACTTAATAAGCCACAACCATGATACCTTGGGCTGGGACTCCCAGCAGGGTACCCACTGCAGAGGTGCCATTTTTATTGTCACGGTGTTTCTTATGCTAGTTTAAAGGAAGCAGGGAAAGGGAGTGGTAACTTAATGTGATCCCTGCATTTTCCAGGTGTCTAGTTAATGTCATTCATTAGGAACAAGCTTCCTAGAGTGGATGGCCAAGACAAGCCAGACTTGCCACTCTGCCAGGCAACACTATCTATCATTCCCAGTAACCCATGATTCTGTCATTTTCCCAAAGGAAGAATGATCAACTCCATTACAAGTACATAGATATTCTCAATAAGACAGGAAGAGAATGATTTGGAAGGAAGGAAATCTCAGTTATGAAGCCCTTGGTAGCCAACATTAGTGTCTAAATACTTGTTCAAATGG